AACCGTTAATTTGCAACTTTGAATTCACCGACGCGCATGAGGTCAAAATATGGCGCAGTGAATAACATTAAACCATTGCTGGATTGCACGTTATGCTTTTCAGTATATTTATTCATTCTTGTAACACTAACGATCAGGCTTCAAGTTTTCACATCAAAGTTTTGAGACCCCATTAAATAACTACCAAAGAACTTCGACTGCCAACCTTAATTCGGCTGGAACAGTTCAGATGACCTCAAGTGGTAGGCCTAGCACTTCAGCAGGCGTATTCTTTCAAGTGTATTATACACCGGCAACGAACATGTAAAAAGTGCAACTCTTTCCATCTCGTCACAACTTAAAGACAACTGAAAACACTAGAATCAACAAAGGCTAGCATATCATAGAAAGAAAACAACACATTTGCTAGATGAACGCACTCCGCATCAGCACTCAGGTATTCAAACACGGCATTACAGAAACTGTACAACCAGCAAACCACAGCAACTGCTATCTAGACTTGCGTGCAATTGAACATTGCCAAAAGATATATGAACTGTTTATCTCCTAGTATTCTTCGAGACCCCAGACATATCAATACAAGCGGCAAACAAGCTTCACCTACCAGGGCAACATCGAGGCCCAGGCCTTCATATGTGCCGCCAAGAACGCGCGTGGGTATTTAATGTGGATAAAATCTATTTTATTACAAATTATTGTTTAAGTTAAAATATCTTATAAAACAAAAAAGGAATAAAAGTTTTATGTAGTTTTATTTACTGAATTAACTGTTGGATTTACCTTTCGAATTGTTTTTATTACTTGAGAACAATGATAGCACACACTTTGCTTTAAGTGAAAATGGACGTCTTTAGTCCTCTCTGAGTACACGGTGAGACGAAACGCTGCCGTATATCGCACATTACCTACATGTAAAGTTCTGCGACGCTGATAGCATGGACCGATTTACATCCCACATTTAGAGGAGTCAAAATGCCATGTTACTCTAATTCATTATAGTATTAAAAACGCAGATCGTGAAAATTTAGGAACCACAGCCATTGTTTATTGCATGTGTTCATTCATGCATTACGTATTTGGGTTTGGTTCCCACGCATCAACTCCAGGGTGCAGTTCATGTAGAAATCCTAGAGGTTTATTTTGTCATTTTACTTCGTTATAATGGCTCATTAGACTAAACTTGTGTTTCTCTTCCGCACATCCATTTAGTCCTGCCTACTGATTTCCAACCTTCCTTCACACCAATGTTACGGTCCCTACGTGATGATGTTGCAGTTGATTCAGTGTCTTTCCCTTCCCATAATCCTTTTCAACTAGTAGAATGGTTAGACAGGGGCATTCATTATTAATTGCATTATAATTGTGGCACAGTGATGAAGAGTGTGCCTTTCAGAGTACACACCATTCTTGAGGGCAGATGACGGCCCATTCGTAACGAATTACGAACCTACTTATTGCTTCTCTCCTAAAGGATTCATTTGAGCAATCATGCATTGCAGAGTCCCTTCGTCTTTTTAAACATCGCCTCCAATGCTGTCGTCAAGGGCTGTTTGCACATGTTGTTCTAGTTAATGCGTGAACTGCATCTTCGTATCCGATAT